AACCTCAAATGTCTGCTTCTGCGTGTGAACGTGATCGATGTCCGAGCGCCGCATCGATTCTAACTACACGCATGAATTCTGTCAGACATCATCCTAGAGTTCGTAGCGAGCGAAACATTTTCGAGAAGCAGGTTCGTTTTTCATTTCATCATTGCTGTTTGTACGTTGAACATTTGGCCCCATTTTTCTTTTTCCTGTCGCGGTGGTGGCTTATTCTGAGTAGTTTTTTTCGGCACTACTATTTAGTCGGGGTTGACCGAGCTTCAATTATTGAACGCGATGCATTAAAAAAAAAAACTCTGCCATTGAAAACCTGTGTAAACTTTATTGTGAAGAGGTCAATTTTGGAAGAGTTGCTGGGCTTCTTGAAATGAAATTTAGTCGCGGCAAACCTTTTCCCCGTTTCATGTCGAATTGTGCGAAGAATTTTTCGAAAGTTTTGTCAGTACTGTACCTAAGATAAGGAAATTCTCCGCGGATCCAATTCTTCGAGTCCGAACCAGTTCATCAACAAAATTTCGAGCAAGCCTCGGTATTTTTTTTTTTATTTTGTGTGATTTTCCTCAATGGCAGTCCTAATTTTTTTTTTCACCGATCGGGATTTATGGCAAATTACAAATTTTAGCATGATTTTTAGAAATTGTTTACGTGATGAAATTTATATCGAAGAGCCAAGGTCGTCATGTGAGAATTTTTCGATTAATTGTTGGAACTTCAATTGCAGGTTAACTTTAATACTTTCAGTGATTGGCTGTGCTTCCATCCTCTGTTCTTCCTTTTTCAAACTGGGTACGCTAACTGCTTGAGAAGTTTGTTCGATAATAATTGAATTTCACTGCATTTCTTTAAAAATGACGTCCGTCTTTACCTACGCAACACAAGATGTAGGAAACTGATAAAACTTTTGAAACCAACCTCGTATATCAATTGTTGTCTACATCTTCGAATTTTTCCGATCTTATTGTCATACAGGTATTGAAAAGTTTTCCTTTGGAGAGCTCGTGTATGTTTGTAAGAACCATGACCAGGTCAACGTTGGAATTCCCGTCGTAGAATTGTTTCTCGGATGCTGTAGAAGCCTTCCCTGTTGGTGATGCGTAAAATATGTTTCCCCATTCCATTCCAGATCCAGTCGCTTTTTTAATTTGTTGGATTGCTTTAAAAAATGTATTTATTCCATGAAAATGAAATGTTTTTCATGACACGGCGTTGGGCTGTAGGTACTGTATTCGATTCATCGTCCTGCAGCTGTTATGCTGCAATACTCGGATGTTCCAGAATTCCTCATGGGCGTCGTTGCTTTTGTGTTCATTTCTAGTTGAGACGAACCGGATGACGATAGAAACATTCTTCTCACGATTTTTTCGTCTTGGTGTATCGTACTTGGCTAATCTTATCTTTTCTCTCGCGTGAAAGCAGCTTTGTATGTGAAATGCAGGGTGGATCAAAAACGAATGGAAGAATTAAACTATAAGTGTATATCTTCTGAACGGCTGGAAAAAAATATTTAAAAAACTCATTCAAACACTTGTTTTTCTCTCCCGCATGAATCCAGCTGTAATGGGACGGATAGCATTGAGATAAAAGGCAAAATTGAAACTAATGAAATAATTATATGGCGAATTTTACGTGAATTTCTTTTACACCAATGCATATAGAAAGTTGATGATGTCGATTAATTGAAATTTGATTCGAAGAAATTTCAACATTGAGCTTCAACCTTTTATGTAGCAGTTCTCAACAATTCGTCAACTTTTTTTATCCACCTTGTAGATAAGTTCGTCATTTGTTTTTCGGAGAATAGCGTTGGACGGTTGTTCGTGGACATCTCTGCTTGCTTGCTTGCTTTTTTTTAATTTATGTAATTTTCATAGGATTTATCATTTGTGCGACTGGTAGCTTCTGTGAAAGTGGAAAATAACTTCAAAGTGCCTTTTACTGCGTGTGGTTTGTGAGCTGACGTGTCGGATGGTATAGATTTGGCTCAGTTCCAGAGGGAATAAATGGAGATCGCTTTGGAAGAACTTTTTTGCTGTTGTTGTGGGACGTGAAATACGAGATTTAAAATCATGGTAGAAACATTTGCTTGAGCCATGAATTTATGTTCGTGTCAAAATCGTTACCTGTTCAATCTCTCGTGTTCCAGGGCTCTTTGCTCGAACTTTTCTCCACTTGGTCAAATGCTGACGAGTTCTCCGACGAACCAACGCAGGAGGCGGTCTGAAAAAGATTCATCCCGGTTTCGTCTCTCCTCACCTTTCAAGTTCTTTTGGTTTTTTTTTTTTTTGAAGGAAAGAAATGTGTTTTTTTTGTGAAACTTCATGTTCACGCGGCTCGGGGCTATACTGTACTGTGAAGCGTCAGTGATCTCTTAGGGAATTTGTATGATGGGGATGTCGAGTGGGTTACCAAAGGGGCAATAACAGCGAATTCCGCTGGCCGAACTTTGTATAAGGGGACTGCGATCTGAAGAACTGAACCAAATATCGCCCGGTGATCTTTTCTGACTGGAGTGTTCGCAATATATATTTTTAGATTCTCTTAGATTTCCACGCTTTCGTGAAATTTTAAGAAATTTGTTTCTCTTGTTTATTTGTCGACCGACTTATCTGGATAGGACAACATTTTTTCAATGTCAGTTGATTTTTTACTCTTCAGAAGAGTATCACATGTACCGTATTTATGCGAGGATCAGATGCAATTTTCTCAAGTGAAACATTGTTGCATAGTTTACAATTATTTTTGTTTTATTATTTTATCTGATGGTCTAAAATTGTGCATCCACTCAAAAGATAAATTTCTTTGAAACGTATTGAAGTCCTTTTGCTTGAGTATAAGTGAGAATCAGAGTCGACATGCAAAAAAAAAATTATGGGACATTACTTCTTATTTGAGTTTATTCGGAGTGACATGGGGGTAGAAATTTTGCTTGAGCGTTTAATTAAAATGACATTTTAGGTAATTAAAATTAATCTTCACTTGTAGTCTGTAATTTCAATGCAAAAATATTTACAAAAAAATTTTTTTTTTACAAATTTGGCACATTCCACGTCGAAGAGTTTCTGAAATATTGTGAAGTATGAGTGTATAAGTATCTTATATTTGCGGGCATAACACACTGCATTACTCATACAATGTAAACAATTTTTGTATCCTGCAAAATTTACGATTTTTCATGTTTGCGTAAATGCGGTGTACCCAATTTTTAAAAACGAAAATAAGTTTAACAAATTTTAAGGGTACGTAATATAAAATATTGCATTATGATTGAACCCACGCAAATAAACTGTGGATTGCATTTCATTCGAGGACATAAACCACGAACTTATTTCCTGAATTTCTTCAACGCACCATTTTGTGTCAGAAATGAGGTTTTTTATTTACGGAGTACATTTCCTTTCAATAAATTCGATTTATGTGAACTCGTTCTGTATTTCATGATTTCTATGTATGTCTTGTAAACGTTGAAATAATAAATGTAATTTCGAGGCCAACGTGTCACAGTTTCGAGTAAATGTTTTGTTGTGCATTCGTAATTTGTTGTTTCGTTGTACCAAAATACTTTTTTTTTTGAGCACGCATTTCCAGATGGATTTTTCTTCTCATCGCAACCCGATCATTTAATTCTATGATTTTGTTGCTGCATCTTGTGTATTATTTGCACGTACTGTATTTATGTTCTTCAACTTGACCCGGGTTGATGAAATAACTGCTGATGACGAGTTTTCGTTGATTTCAGGTGACGATGGAAGATCACCTAATTCAAGGAGCACTTCAGATTTTAAGCGAGGAGGCGGTTGAAGACATTTCCGCTGTAAATGCTGGTGAGCGTGCGATTTTTTTAATTGTCTTTTCGCCTCAAATTTCATTGAATTTCTCCGAGAACCCGTTTTAATTTAGCATTTGTTTTCATTCCATTCTAAATATTTTTTGCTGTGGTTCCAGTTACTTTTTAATTTTACATTTTTACAAATTCTATTGCAAGTCTTTCGTTTTTTTTGTGCTTGCAGTTCAATTTTAATTTTGCATTTGTTTTCATTCCATTGGAAATCATGTTTTTTCTTTGTTAATGTTGCAGTCGCGTCGATGAGAAGAACACCGCAATTTGACCTCCCCGACGATTCGCGTCACGGATTTCGGAACCCCGTTTCATCGTTTGCCGATGACCACCACCACCGAATGGGTTCTCCGTTGGGCCATCCGTCCTGTGACACGGGCCCCAACACCAGTTTGCGCAACAGCGACGTGTTTGATCCGGAAGATGTCGCTGTTTTCCGAGACGACGGCGTCGAAGCCGGAGAAACGGAAGTGTTGTATTTACGGTCGGCTGCTCCTTGCGCTTCCCCGCTAAACACCAATGAAGTCGTGTACGGCTCTGCCAAGAGCGTGGTCCCCGGCAGCGTAGTTTTCGTCCCGCCACTCATTAACCGTAGCCGGTATTCTTCCTTTTCCGGCCGCATGTCTAATAGTCCCATCTCGAGTCGATCGGTGTCTGTGCGCACTCTGGCCGACACCGACTCGATCATAGCAAGGTACTTAACCCGTTCTGTTCCCTTTTTAGGGACTAATATTGTACTTCTACTTTTCTTTCAGTGAAAAGGTTTTGCAATGATTTAGTACCCGTATTTACTCGGGTCAGACGCGCGTCAGCCTCCAAAATTGGATCCCAGAGTGAGAAGCGCAACCCATCTTTTGTGACACTGTAACTCCAATATTTCCGAAATGAGAACACCCAAATTTGTATTCAGACATGAGTTGATTATAAATTTACCTAATTTTCAATTGCTGTATTTCCATTGCAATAAGCTTGTCTTTTAAAATTGTTCCGAAATTTCCCATTAGAATAAAATATAATGCACAATTAAACTTGTAAAACTTGTGTACAAATTTGCACTCGCTTATGACGCGCACTCCCTTTTTGCCTGTCAATTTTGAGAAGAAAAGTGAGAAATTTCCAAATTTGAATTCAGACATGATTGGTCCGAAATTCAACTAATTTTCAATTATTTTCATGTACGATAAGCTTTTGTTATTAAAATTGGTCCGAAATTTATCATTAGAATAAAATATAATGCACAATTAAACTTGTTGAACTTTCTTAATGTATACCCGCTCCTGGGACGTACCCCGCTTTTTTCCCGCCAATTTTGAGAAGGAAGGTGCGCGTGGTACTCTGGTAAATACGGTAACTAGTGGGGTGTGTATCTTGATTTTCGCGTGCAGTTTTTGGAGGGGGAATTCGCCAGCTTTTTTTTTTTTTTTCAGCTTATGTAGGTGTAGAATTAGAATTAACCGTGCCCGAATTCCGAATCATTTAGTGGCAACGAAGCGATTGTACATTTTGTAATTTTCGATTGACCCGCTTTGATTTCTTTCTGAGGCTTTGATTCAATGCTACCCAACATACGGGCCGGATCCGGCTCGCATAGACTCTTCATCGATCCCGCAGTCCTTTCCCTATAATTTTCAAGGTGGCAGCCGCTACTATTCAAAATATATCTTAACAGATGAATTTAAGAATGTTGCCCCACCCTTGAAAATTTTCATAAGGCTTTGCCTGTGATCCAATGAATAGCATTTGAATTAAATTTGAAACTTTTCGTCCAATATGGTGAAAGTTGGAACCTCACAATTTATTGTGGCCCTAAATGGCTCTCCGCCTCTGTAATGTAGCCCTTGGCCACAAACAATGTATTAATGTGGGCTGAGTTGGGCAGCACTGCTAGTAATAAATAGAACGCTCACAAAAAATGTGATGGGAAATTCGAGGAAATGGCAGTAGAGTGATATTGCATTTTCTGTTTTTTATGCTTCCATACTACTGTATCTCGGGATATTACATCATCCGGACAGATGATCAAATGTCTGATAATTGAATGTCAAATCTCCGCGTGCAGTGGCATGAACATTCTGATTATTCTTACGTGATAAAGACGGTAGTCTGTATTTAGTCGCTGATTATTGTAGTTGTTCGTGGCCTGGTCTGGTTTGTATAAAATTTAAGAATAGTTGAGTTTTACTGCACTGGGCAATTAGCGCGCAAACAGACAGGAAAAAAGTGTGTCTCAGATGAGTTTTTTTTAAATCACTCAAAAGGTTCACGTTTTTAATTCACGAGTCCAGCACATCTTCGTGTTCGGTTGGCATTATCTTTCTTCCGAATAGTTCCACTTTCCGTGTGACGAGAATTTTCATAATCATACTTGAATTCCCCGAAATATTTTCTGAATCTAATGACGCGTGAATCACTCCATGGTTTCCTTCGAAATCGCGAAATTTTCTTTTTTCCACTTCTAGACTTTTCGTTTTGCTGTAGGATTTTTTCTATCGAATTATTAAGTACAGTACGATGTTGGCAGTGGTTCAAGAAGTGGTCTGATCCGTACGTGATCTCTCGCTAATGCTAGGAATTTTCGAGTATCCTTGCAGCATCATTTTCAAAGTCATAATTCAGTTTCTATGCGGAACTGCGCCCACATCGTGCCCGTATTGTTGGCCTGCATTTATACTCCAAAAAGTCTTCTCTCCCGTGTTCAATAAAAAAAAAAGAAATATTTCGTGTCCTGTCCTTGAGCAGGCTGAGTCCGGAAAGAAACCAGGAATTGTGGAATGACGTTGAAGAACAGCATACAATGGTCAGTCGCCCGCAATCCACCACAGCAGCTATTTCCAACAGGCTCAACAGCATCTATCAGCGTGGGAGATCCGATTCTTTCCCAGAAATCGTGTGGAGCAACAACGGGTACGAATTGTTTTTTTTGTGTGTGTAAATTTGTGAACCGAATTTTTGAGCGTGGCTGATGGAGAGACGGAAATTTTCTTAGTCCTGGGGTTTGAGTCTGCGATTTTGTTGTTGGACATTTAGATGCTGGTGAAATAAACCTAAGTTATTTAGAATTTATGAATAAAAAACAACATCAGTTAAATATTAAATCGGTGACTTTAAAAAAAAAAAAAAACTAAAACTGTGGTGGAGGAAATATGAAGTGGTTTTTCTTCTAGTTGAAATTTCCCCAGCAGAAATTCGAATTTAGTTGTCCGTATACTCTATCTCTTGTGCTTGAAGCAAGGGTTGCCTAGTTCGACCAGAATAATTTCGTTACTTAGGATCTAGGTCTTGGCTGAAATTTTCACGGTAGAACTATGATATTGGTTGTGGGTTTGATTGTTTTTGTTGAGTTAGATTGTTTACAAATTTATGGAAGGATGGCGAGGCACGTAATTCGTGTTTTGATTTAGTCTAGTCTTGACTCATATGTTAAGTTCGGTTGGTTACTTATTAGGACAGGATGTTGAGGCATCATATTTTAGCTTATTTCATTTGATGAATGTTCCACTGATTTATTTAGGTATTAATTTGGTTTTTGTGGAAGGTTTATGATATCTAAGGTTAATTAGGTATCGAAAGTAGTGCAGTACAGGTTATTCGTTGAATTATCATTTTTTGCTTAGTTCCGTGCTCACTTTATTTAATTCACTAGTTTTGTTGAGTCGGTGGCAATATATGAAATAGAGAGAAACGCAGCTTTATCACGGAAGTACCTGGTTTTCTTTGTTTCCATGGTTACCATTTTCACAACTGAATCGTGATGAAATAGAAATTATGATTACTAAATGATTATTTTGTGCCTCGAATTCAGCTGGCTTATTGAAATAATTTTTCGCGCGTGGATAAGGTCTACAATTCTTTTGTCAGTTGCATTATCTTGAGGTTTCGGGATACGTATCTCGTTATTTTATTGCTTGGTACAGTGTTTCTTTGTTATTTCAGGAGATATCCACCAGCAGAAACAACGCCTGCAGACTTGGATTCTGCTTCCGGTTCGCCGCAAAGCGGGAAAAACCCGTTCACGCCCGGACGGAAACTTCCTCAGTCCTTCCGCATAAAGGAGCTTCGAAGCCGGGAGAATTCTTTAGGCAGCCTCAGTCGACTGTCGACACTTCGGCGTAAACTCTTGGGTTCCTCGCGTTCGAAGTCCCAGCTGGACGCCGAACTCGGAGGCGGCACTCCGACGACGCCCGAGAAGCCATCCCAGGCGACCCCGTCGGCGGCGACGCACAGCAGTGATTCCAGGTCCAGGAACAACAGTGTGAGCAGGGATTCCGGGAAAAGAATCCCGCTGAGGCAGTTGACGTACAAGAGCGTCGTGGACTCGAGTTCCAGTTCGGATGACAACGTTGAAGAAGCGTTGATTGACGAAGAGAATAATAGTACGTTTGACGGCGCTGAGGATTCGTCGATGGCGACGTCTACGGGTTATTCAACTCTGCAGGTTCGTTTTCTGCAATTATTAATACTTTAAACTACTTGCTTTGATTCTGAGAGCATGAATGATGAGTGAAACTGTGTTACACTAAAATACAATGCACGACCAATTTTTGTAACACCGAATGCCCATATCAATTTTGGTTGTTATGTCGTTTCTTTTTAAATGGGTCAGTGATGCAATCGTTTCACCTTTTTGCCGACAAGTTTTGGCACTGAGGTGAAATAATTAAAATTGTAAATATTGGATTCGACATTGAGGGAACTTGAAATGAAAGAAACATTTTCAAACCAACTGAAGAAACGTGGACGCTGTCGTCTCGCGGAGCAGAAAATCGTTTCCCTGATAAACTGACAATATATTTACGTGCTGAACAAATTTTGATGTACGGAATAATTTTTCAATCTTCAGAATGAAAACAGAAATGCATGGCCTCTCAAGAGAATCATTTTTCGAATCCAATTCAAGAATGAGTCGTCTTGACCATCATTTCTCGATCGCGCATTCAACTGTAAATTGTTTTGGCCAGTTCATATGAAATTGTGTAAGAAAAAAAAATAGTCGATTCGAACGAAAATCACTGATTCCTCATCTCAGAAATCAACGCTAGCACGTGACACGTACATCAATTCATGTTAATTTTAATTAAATTTCAAAAAATAACGGATTTTCTCCATTCGCATTTTGAACTTTTTCTCGTTTTTTTTATGAACAGGACGAATCTAAAAAGTCTAGCGGAAAAGAAGGGAAAACAAGGCGAGTCTTCCAAATCCCATCGTTTCGAAAGTCCAAGAAGAAACACTCGGACGCTGCTTCGCCATCAAATGCGAACGAGCTTACATTTTCTCCATCAGCTTCCACCCAAGATTTCCGGCTGTCTGGTGGCGTTGACGTGGACGAAACCGAACTTTTGGTATTGGAATCTAATCCATCTATGGATTCCGAAGGAGGACTCAAGGGGAAACGCGGACTGAGTCGTCAAGAGCACGTTGTTTCCTCATCTCGTGAAGTTACTCCCATGCTCGATCCATCCGGTTTGGGTCGTGAAATGTGATGATGATCCTTTCGGGAATTGTTCCATTTGTGTCCTTTTACTGGAGATGCTTTTTGCTGCATTTTCAGGCTTTTTTTTTTTTTCGTCTAGCCCTTCTCACGGGAAAGAATGAAACAGATTTCGCTGTGTTATTTCCCTGTATAATTTCTGTGAAAGGAAGGTGCACGAGTCCGGTCCATGTATGAGGGTTGTCTGATTTCCGCGACGACATTGGGAAAAAAATGCTACCTATTACGCTGAATAACCTAAAGCGTAATGAATTTTTAATACCTGAAGTGCAATTCTGGAAGACTAAGAATTCATGTAAATATTAAGACCCCTCTTACCCGAAGACCCTTCGAGGCATTATATTTTAGAAAAACGTCACCCGAAATGCTCTCCTGAAATTGAACAGGATTAATAAGATGCTGGCAGATTTTCTCCTTCTGCTTATTAATAATGTTTGCAAAATTAAGAGAATAAAATCCCCTGAAGCATTGAGGATGTACCAAAAGGATCTTACCGCTAGATCTGTTCATATTGAGAGATTTCCATGGACCCTATTTTGTGTTGGATACTTCATTTCTTGGGGAAACCAGACAACCCTTTTATTTCAAGATTTCGCAAAAATGTGACCTATATCTGGAAAAAATGTACCCTTCAAGCGGAACGCATTTTTTAAATCCGCCTGAATGGATGGGTTGAAGGCGGGATTTTGAAATACCTGTAATTTTGAATTTAGGAAATTTCACGTCGCTAATTTTTTTTTTTTTTTCGCGAAGATTTCTTCGTCTTACGAATTTCTTTGAGAATTTCTCATCTCGGATGGTTGAATTTCTTATCTTGTGTGATGCAGTATTTAAAAGTTGTTCGAAAAAGTCGCTTCATGAACTCAAGAAAAAGACGGATTGATTCTTGGGTTTTTTTTTTGTCAAGGTTGTCATGTTTTTTGTCGCAGCTTTATCAGTTCCAAAGTTATCGCCGGTGATCTGAACGCGAAAGTGGATTTTTCTTTTTGGTGTATCTGTAGTACGTCGAAGACAAAAGAAAGCGTTGATTTCAACGGAATATTCTTCGCCTTTGGAGGACGAAATTCAATTTTGAATTTTATGTGTTCGCACTTTGGAATGTCAAAAGGAAGGCTAGAGAACCGAATGTTGCATCCAATGTCCCGGTCGTGTTGGGCATTTTTGTATCGGGGTTTCCGCGTTTATCTTTGTGTCTTTCTGTATCATGCGCTCGAAATGCGGGCGAATATCGGAGGAAGCTCAAAAATTCGTCCGCGGGTCTTGAGGTGATCTTCTACTCGGGAAAGAATGAAAGAATGTGATGTTGCCCTGATTTTCTTCGTTCTGTTTTTATTTTTTCCTTTCCTTAATCAAAATCCCTCATTTTGGGCTTTTAAATGAGCTTGACCTCGGTTTTCGTGTCGTTCAACGTTTTTTTTCGTTTCTAGATGATTCTAAATCATATCCGGCGGTGAAAAGGATTTTTTTGAGCTTGTGATAAATATTGGAAAGTGAATTGAATTGACGAGCTGTGAAATATGCATTCCGGTCCTGTGTCAGTTGATGGATTTAGTCGCCTGATTGAGTCCTTGGGATATCGAGGAGTCTCCGTGGGAATTCTTACCGCATCCTTGCTTTTTGTCTTGGGCCAATTTGCCTCGAACGTTTTTCGATCAAGGGTAAGTCGAATTTGATGTAAAATATGAGGAATTTTGCCGTTATTGTTGATGAAATCAAAAATAACCATTTGACAGGAGCGAGAATGTGTAGAATGCTAATTGCATTTTTGGATCACGAGAACTAGGAAATGTGAGATCAATGAAGATTCTTCAGAAAAAGTTTTGAACAGAAGGCTTGAGGTAATACTAAAACTCGTATGCAACAAAGCTGCTCGATTTTTTCGAATTGCCCTTGAAAATCGAAAAATGCTATAGAATCGCCTGGATTCAAAATTCTTTTCTGAAGAAATTACCAAATTACCTTCTGGAAGTTTTAAATTTGAGCACCAAAAAAATGCTTACATGTTTTCCCTCTTTTTAATAAGCGAATTTAAAACGGGCATACTTTCGCACCCAACAGGGCATCAAAGCAAAAATCCTGCATCATGCTCAACGACGGAAAAAAGAGTTTGAAAAGCTGCAAGAAAGCCTGAAGCAGTCTGATGGAGCTCTGGTAACTCCCCAACAGCGATCAATTCGAGACTTGAGCTTTTCCGACTTGAGAGATCAGTTGCAGAAGGGAACTTTGACTGCCTCTGAAGTACTTGATGCGTACGTGGCATGCGTGAGTTATTATTGATTGCAAATTTTATCGAAGTATAATCGTGGAAATATTTGTACATTTTTGCAAGAGAAACAATCGTGAATAACGCGCGGTTGCACCTGCAATGTAGGGTAACTGTTGAAAAACTAACTGGCTCCCTCCTGTACGACAAGTGAGCTTGTTAGAATGCTCCATTAGTCTTGGGGAAAAGCCATAAAAGGGGAACGCAAACCCGAATCTTTGTCATTTCTTTGCCAAAAGCAAGCCTGTCACCAAGAGGGTGAGAAGAGCATTAAAAAATTATATTGCGTCTTGGACTGCGTTTAATTTACACTTGGCGTCTACCGTTACGGACTGCATCTCTTCAGCATTCGTGTGACTGGAAACTCAGTGAAAACGAAATCTACGCAAAAGAATCTTCACATATAGTTTTTATTCGTTTTCATGGAATAAAAATACCGGGTCGCAGCATTTCATAATACATTTTCCTCTTTGCGTCTTCCCGCACAGGCCCTTCTGGTGACACAGTCCACGAATTGCGTCGTCGATTTCATCGAAGAAGCAAAGGCAAGGACGATGATTTCGCGAATATCCCTTTTTTTATTCAAGTATTTTGTGTGGTTTTCCCGCAATTAATGATGACGACAGGTGACAGCGAAAGCCTTGGATAGGCTCGGGCCCGGAAAAGGAGGTCCTCTTCATGGCATACCGATTAGCGTGAAGGAAAACTTTTCGATTACCGGCTATGATTCCACTTATGGAATCGGGAAACGTTTGGACATGCCTTCGCCTCGTGACGCTGCATTGATTCTTGTCTTGATGAAACTGGGCGCAGTGCCTTTTTGTAGGACGAATATTCCTCAAACCATGATCAGGTGAATAAAGGGATAGTCGAGAGTCGGATCTGAAGTAATCTCGTCTTGGACAATTTTAAACCTGTTTTTCTTTCTCTTGATTTGCTATTGATGTTCCTTTTTTTGTCTTCGCGATTCAATATTTTGTAGTGATCCAACGAAGGAAATAATTTTACGACACTGAAGAAAATGTGTGGCCAAGTCCTGGGCATTTCACCAAGAAATTGGAAAAGTCGCACTGTCGTGAACAAATTTTGCACTGAAAAATTGCTGCACGATGTTCATTCGCTTTCTTCCGATTCTTGAGTTACTATTTATGTTATTTTTACTCTTCGCGAGTCGCTCAAGAAAAGTTTTGGCCGAGTTCTGGGCATTCCATCAAAAAATTTAAAATTTCGCACTGTCGCAAAAATTATGTTCTCTGTGAAGAATTGATGCACGATATTTATTCGCTTACTTTCGATTCCATGCCAGAAATCAGTTTTTCGGGTTTTGAATTCATGTTGAACAATTCGAAAATCCATCAGGGTTTGAGCTTCTCGCTTTTTTTTCATGTTCGGGAAAGATTTCAGTTTTTGTCGCAAAGTTTTAGTGTAAAACAGATGCTCGACATTCTGTTTTGGTTCGTCAATCTCAGACAGAATATGTTTTCCCCAACAGCTTTGCAAGCGGAAACCCGGTGTACGGACTGTCAGAGAATCCGTATCAAAAAGGACGTACTTGTGGAGGATCTTCTTCTGGCGAGGGTTGCTTGATTGGTGCTGGTGGTTCCATTTTGGGTCTCGGAACGGATATCGGCGGATCCGTGAGAATCCCGGCTGCCTTTTCTGGATGTTGTGCCCTCAAACCGACGAACGGTCGACTTAGGTTTGTTCTCGACCGTCTCATTGATCACTTTTAGTTTATGATTTCATTCACAGTAAAATGTTTGGGTGAAAAGCAGTAAATTAAATTGTAAAAAATTCGTATTGTGCGACTTTGAAATTTGAGTAAAATTGTGTGGAAAACTTGTGGGAACGGTTGAAAAAAAAGGCATTGAGGTCGAAAATGTTGACCTTAACCTGATGAATTCTTTTACAACTAATGTGTAATATGGAGCAGCAAAAATTTAGATGAGCATGAAACGTGTTTTCTTCCCTTCAGTATACGGTTGAAATGTTATTTTGACATCCCTTTAAAGAACTTTTGTACCATAAACTTGTATACACGCATATTTCTAATTGTGATGTAGGAAGAGAAAAATTTCCGGAAGTGCCGTAAAGATTGATGATAATTTCTCCGTTTTTTGCGATTTCTAGGTATACTAGATTTCTGTGTACACTTTGTGGTGATGGGGTAATTTTGTCGGCTGAACATGCCCTTGAATTCACGTCGGGTTGGGAATCCACAGAAAATTCAGTTAATGGAGTTCTGTCGTCGCCATTGAAGGATCTTCTTCGGAAGTATTCCAAACGAATCTGTAATTTTCTGCTATTTATTTTTTCAGTTCCATTGGAATCCAAGAGCCTTTGCATGGAGTTTGCGGTCGTGAGTATACAAATGAGAAAAAAAATTTGTTGTTTATGTAGTGTATATGAATGATTTTGTGGAACGCTGTTCTTGATGGTCCCTGGCTCGTTAGTTACACCTACGGCTGGGTTCCTTGCTCGTGGAGTTGACGCCTTGGAGATGGTTTATCACGCAATTACTCGATCTGCTTTGCACACTGAACTTGACGCTTGTCTTCCTGTCCTGACGCCGATCGATGTTGCAAGTTTATTTTCCGTGTTCTCAGTTCATTTACTGTATACGTTTATTTTTTTCTTTTTTGCTCCAATTTCAAAAGTATCTTGTCCCGTTCTGGAAGCTGTGCTGTGATTTCCCGTATGTTCTTCGGAAAAACCGATTGGAAAGCAGTGCATGTGTCATACTGTTCGGATTTCATGCTTTTTTTTTCTATCCCGTGTCAATTCTAGAACATACCCGAAATCACGGAACAACTTCACATGCGCAATAATGATCGTGAAAAATATTTGAGAAGAGCATGGACAACTTAATGCCATTTTCAGTAATGTAACCGACATAATTCAATACTCCTTTAGCGCTTTAGTCCGTGTAAGACTCTTGCGTGACAGGAGGACTGTTTTTCACCTCCGGGAGGGGAATTGAAGTGAAAAATATTGAATAATGATTTGGGGGAGAACATTTTTAGGTTAATGCAGGTGGACACTCTGTGCAACGAAAAGGGACCAATAAGGGACCAAAAAAAAAATGGTCGTTGAGATAGAATTTCGTTGCAGAGAACCCCGATAACATGGGGAGAGAACCCTGTGGAACCAGAAAAAAAATTTTATTCGCAGAAAACCGTTGTAGAGAAAATCCACCCGTATACGGTATAAAACTTTCACATGAATTTAAAAATTATGAATTGTCTCGGTATTTTCGAGAATAGCTTCAAACAAGGGCTGACGTATGATTTTTGCAAGTGCCGCCAAGCTGGTTTTCAAAGCATTATTTGCAGAGAAATTTGGAATGCGGTTGGCCGAGAGCCCTTGAATCCTGCTGTAAATGTCTGAAAAGTTTTACATATTTATTTTTTTATTTGAACCTTTCTTGAAGATCAATTTTGGGTTGACCGCCTGTAACGAAGTCACGTGTTTCTCGGTGAAAATACGTACGATGTGCGAGGTCAAAATGCCGAAGAAAATTTCCTCCTCGCGACCTCAAAATTTTGATTACGAATTCTAGCGCACCCGAAATTGAAATACTGTACATTATCGAACAATCAATCTAGAATTTGTTGCTCCCGTGAATGTGGCATGAGCTTTGTTGTGTGTTGCGCCTTCATCCCTGAAATTTCTCATTTCCATGCATCCGTTCTTGTCTTCCTGTCCTGACGCCGATCGATGTTGCAAGTTTATTTTCCGTGTTCTCAGTTCATTTATGCGTTTTTTTTTTTTTTTTTGCTCCAATTTCGAAAGTATCTTGTCCCGTTCTGGAAGCTGTGCTGTGATTTCCCGTATGTTCTTCGGAAAAACCGATTGGAAAGCAGTGCATGTGTCAAACTGTTCGGATTTTATGCTTTTTTTTTCTATCCCGTGTCAATTCTAGAACATACCCGAAATCACGGAACAACTTCACATGGGCAATAATGAACGTGAAAAATATTTGAGAAGAGCATGGACAACTTAAGGCCATTTTCAATAATGTAACCGACATAATTCAATACTCCTTTAGC